ATGCTGAGTGGAAGTATTGTAAAATATCCCGTTGTACACAAATCAAGTAAATTTCAGAAATATTTTACATGAAAAAATAATAATTGGTGGCGTGGGGTATCGATCCCCGTACCTCTCGCATGCACAGCGAGCGCTTTACGATCTGAGCTACGCCCCCGGTCGACACCTATGTTACTTTAAACATACTCGCCTTAAAACCTGAACAAGATCGTTACAGTAACTAGGTCGATATCGGAATATAAGTCGTCAAAACATGCATTGTCATCTAAACTAAACGTGTATACAAAATTTCAGCTCAATTGGTTGAAGACATCAACTTCAAAATTGAGAGCTGCAAGATTCCACCCGAACAAATTACTTTAATTAATATCTATTTAACTAATATAGATATCGGGATATAAATGATCAAAACATGCATTGTCATCCAAACTAAAAGGGTATACAAAATTTCAGCTGAATCGGTTGATTCAATGAGAAATTGGCGAAATCTTGGTGGTAGAGCCAAATTGGCATCATTTTTGGCGACTTTTAAGGTTTTTAATTATATCTTTTTAACTAATTGCGATATCGGACCGAATTGCGATTCTAGACCATTCTCGAATTTACTTGAACCACACAAAAAATTTCATCGAAATCGGTCCAGCCGTTTAGGAGGAGTTTAGTCACATACACACTCACAGAAGATTTTTATATATAAAGATATATATATAAATGGAGTGTTTGTAATTTGAAATTAACAACTTTTTACAAGTTGTTATTTAACTTGCAATGTAAAATGTTCGGGTGGAATCTTGCAACTCAATTTTAAAGCTGATGTCTTCCACCGATTCCGTTGAAATTTTGTATACCTTTTTAGTTTGGATGACAATGCATGTATCGATCATTTATATTCCGATATCGGAATTATTTAAAAATATATTAATTAAAGTAATTTGTTCGAGTGGAATCTCTCTTGCAGCTCAATTTTGAAGCTGATGTCTTCAACCAATTGAGCTGAAATTTTGTATACACGTTTAGTTTAGATGACAATGCGTGTGTTTTGACGATTTATATTCCGATATCAACCTAGTTACTGTAACGATCTTGTTCAGGTGTTAAGGCGAGCATGTTTACAATAACAAAAGGGTGAACCGGGGGCGTAGCACAGATGGTAGAGTGCTCGCTTAGCATGCGAGAGGTACGGGGATCGATACACCGCGCCTCCAATTATTTGTTTTTCGTGTAAAAAATTTCTGAAATTTGCTTGTTATGTGTACAACGGGATATTTTACAATACTTCCACTCAGCATGCGTACAAAGTATGTTATATTTTTACTGTTCTGGAAGGAACACTAAGAAAGGCAGATCTATCAAGCTATTTCTATATACTTTGAAACATTCTTTAATATCTATTTACTGGATTCTAGTTTTTCCCGTAACACTTTTAATTTGCCTAGTAACTGTAACGATCTTATTCAGGTTTTAAGGCGAGTATGTTTAAAGTAACACAGGTGTCGACCGGGGGAGTAGCTCAGATGGTAGATCGCTCGCTGAGCATGCGAGAGGTAGGGGGATTGATACCCCGCACCTCCTATTATTTTTTTTTGTGTAAAATATTTTTGAAATTTTTTTGATTTGTACAACGAGATATTTTACAATACTTCCACTCAGCATACGTACAAAGTATGCTATATTTTTTACAAGCTTTTATTTAATTTCACCCGTCCCGTTGTCTGTCGGTCTGTAATCAAGACTTGCAAGTTAAATTTGATCCACTTCCCGGTTTCC